AGTACTTGGAATCCAAATTTTTCTATTCAAATTCCAATGTCCTTTTAAAATCCACTTCATAGGTATAACTGCAGGCGTTTAGGTGTTAAAGACTAGAAAGTAAATTTCAATTATGTTATATAATTTTAAGTTTTTCACTAAACATTTGAGATAGTAGAAAGAGCCCTGAATTTGGATTCAAAGAACCACCATTTGATTTCTAGCACTACTATTTACTAATTGCAAACTATTAGGCAAGTCACTTAGCATTCCCATGAAGCCCTAATTTTTTCATCCGTAAAATGAGGAGATGGGACAAAATGATCCCTGAAGTTCCATCTTCAAACTCTACATCTATGATTCTATAAAGCTAATCCTTTAATGAGTATAATAAAGACTTTTTTGCTATACCTTTTTTCAAAATAGTTTGATGAGTTCTCGTTTCTAAACGGGTTAAATGTATATAAAAAAACACATGTAGACAGTATTCAAAATAAAGAATCTAGACTAACTTCACATAGTCTCAGGGGTGGATTGTATCCAACCCTCTCATTTCTTAGGCTTCAAAAGTGAAGAAATTGTTTTAAAGATCTACATTATCTGACTATATGTCCTACTACAGAATCATTTAAAAATAAACTCCAAGACACTTTGCAAATATTTTTGTTGTAAATAATTTTATTTCCTTGAGGTAGATATTTGAACCTTCCCTACTTCTTCTTGGCAGATTATATAACTCTTACTTTCCTAAGTAATAAAAAGCACCTCGAGCTCTTTTTGTTTCATTTTCCTCCAATTTAAGATGTTTCCATATCTTACTCTGAACTTTCTCCTCCTCCCACCAGAATTTGGACTCTACCCCTGGGATCCTGAGTTCTGATAGATGAGTTTCATAAAATCTTACCCAGAACCAGGCTACCATGTTGTTTTGCAACCATTTCTAAACCAAGCAAAAATGCCTTACCATCTCCTTCTAACTCTAACCCCCCTTTATGGTTTCCCTGTTAAGATGAAGCTCCTTGAGGGCAGGGACTGTATTACTTGCTTTTATTTGTATCCCTACCCTTTAGCACAATACCTAGAACATAGAAAGCATTTAATAAATGCTTTTTCATTCACTCAAGAAATTCATCCATTTTTTCCATCATATATATATTTTAAGAAGTGTCCTTTCCAAAATAAGCCCTTCTCCTATGTTATTGATTCTTATTCCCTGTGATTGAATTTGTTCAAGTAATTGTCTCTTCCCTGTCTCTGGAATGTTCAGAAACACAGAGCCAAAGAATTTCAGCCTTGAGACCTCAGCCACCACCTAACCCATACGGGTGATATCTAAAATAGAATACATACTAAAATAAACACAGAAAGCCATCATTTGTCTTTCTTTGATGAATGTTAATGATGGGAATCCCATCCCATCTCTAGGCAGCCCATTCCAATTTGAAAAAACTTCTACTGATTTTCTGGACAATGAGTTTAAATTAGCCTCCTCACAACTTCTACTCATTACTTGTTTTTTTTTTTTTTTGGTTGTTTGTTTTTCCCTCTTTGGCCAAATAGAGCAAATCTTATCCCTCTTCCACATAACAGCCATAAGATCCCCAAAGAAACCTATCGTGTTTTCTATAAGTCTTCTCTTTTCCAGGCTAAACGTGTCCATATCCTTCAATTGTTATATGACACTATCAACCTCACAGAATTTGGTCTAAGAAGGACAAAGAAGATTAGGTTGTATCCATTGTTTTATTTATCTCAAAGTGAGCAGGATGCATGCATGGCAGCTGTAGTTTTAGAACTGAGTTCATTTTGGGGTTAGGGGTACACAGCTTATACAGGGTGCACAAGGGTGATGTTACCCCATCTTCATTTTACCTCTAGACAGAGGAAATGCCTATTTTATCAGACCAACTGCAACCATAATAGGTCACTCTCAGCTTTGGGTTATCTAGACAGAAAAATATCTCTATCTGAGCCTGAGCAGAACACAATGAAGCTTTCTCTACCTTAGATTAAATTACTTGTGGGCTTGGTTGGGGACTGACCAGGGCAAGGAGAGTCAATGCAATCTCATTATCAGTAATGCCCTTCTGAAGAAAAACAGAGCGTAAAGTCAGGGCTTTGGAAGAAGGGGGCTAGGAGAAGCTCTGAACCTCCAAGATATTGGTTATTAGTAATCATTTTTCACAACACATACTCAAGACCCTTCATCATGTTGGTTGTCCTGCTCTTGACACTCTCTAGCATACAACTATCTTTCCTATTCCATGGTGTCCAAAACTAAAAACAATATTCTAGATGTTATCTGATCAGGCCAGGGTGGCAAAAATAATGTCACCTCCTTATTCCTGGAAACTATACCTCTAATAATGAAGTCCAACATTACCTAAATTCATATTCTCTCTCTCTCTCTCTCTCTCTCTCTCTCTCTCTCTCTCTCTCTCTCTCTATATATATATATATATATATATATACACATATATATATATATGTTTTTCCCTTTCCTCTGCTTAATTTTTTTCATCTTTACTTATCCTCCAATATTTCAAAAAATCCATTATTTCAACCGTGTAGGTCTACCTTCCCTTGGTGCAAAATATAACCCATTCATGCTTTTGTCAATGATTATGTGACAATTTTGTTGTACATTTGAAAGGAATAACAAGTTGTACATAGTAGGTTTGCAGTTTCATGTACAATCTTCTGTTTTATTGTACCATGTTATGAAAATGCTTGTTTTATTCTATAAATTTTTATTCTATAAATAGGCAATATGCCTATCTTGCTAAAGCTTATATCCCTTGGCATAGCTTTGGTGAATCAAGTAAGTAAGAAGTATTTATTAAGCGATACTATATACCAGGCACTGTGCTAGGCACTGGGGAAACAAATTATAATAACTGAAACCATTCCTGCTCTCAAGGAGCTGATATTTGTCAAGGAAGACAATATATACCTAAAATAAATATATATAGAATAAAAAAAGTAATAGGTAGTGTTTAGACAGTCCCTTAGAGTTTGCATAGCACTTTACAAATAATGTCTCATTTTATCCTCAAAACCTGGGAGGTAGTTGCTATTATGATAGCCATTTTACAGACGAGGACACAAAGGCACAGAGCAATGAAGTGATTTGTTTGTCACATTGTTCGCAAGTAAGTGAGGATACATTTGAACTCAGGTATTCTTAACTCTAGATCCAGCATTCTATACAAGGTAATTCAATACAAGATAGGGAGGAAGGGCACTAGAGCCAGAATTTACTTCTATACCATGATGAAGCCTTAGAATAAAGTTTTAATGGAGACAATTTCCCTTAACAACAACAACAACAAAACAAACCTATAAAAAAAAAAAACTACATGTAGTTATGTACATAACTATATATAAAGAGTATGTATGTACATATATGCATGTATATATGTAAAAAAAGAAATTCCTTGACATCTTTCTCCTTTTGTTAACATAATTTCTTTAAACGATAGTCTACACTTACTGTTCTCACTTCTTCACTAGAGTTATATTCCCTAAATCCCTGAAATTTAGCCTTCAATTCTACTATTCCACAGAAATTGTTCTTTCAAAGGTGATTAAGGACCCATTAATCCCCAAATTATGTGTCTTTTCCTTATTCCGAATTCTTCCTGTTCATACCTTATTTTTGGAAATTTTCTCCCTTATTTTTTTTTTTGACACTGCACTATGTAAGTTCTCTTTCTGTTTTTCTAACCACTTCTTCTCAGTCCCTTTTACTGGCTCCTCTTTCTCTTTCTGACCTGTAATTGTAGGCATCCTCCAAAGTCTTGTCCCTAACTTCTTTACACTTTTTCTTGTTGATTTAATCTGCTTCCACAGCTTCATCTCTCAATTCTAGGCAGATGTTTTCAATATATATCTCTCCATGTCTGGTCCCTCTACTGTACACTAATCCCTTTTTTCCATATTCCTTCCGAATATTTTCAAATAAATGTCCCCCAGGTACCTCAAAGCCAATATGGTTCAAGCCTAACTTCCCTTTTTATATTCTGAAACCAAATCTTCCTCTTGATTCTCTATTTTCCCTCCCATTTCCCATTGTGAAGGAAGAATTTTCTTTCCTCCACAAATATGGAGATATAGGATCTGACACCATTGCTCTAATCCTTCTTAAATTGCATCTGATTCTGAAGCAGCCCTTATCTCTCCCTCTCTCCCATGTATAGATTTAACAACCCTTAAAATACCAAACCTTTTGTAATATGGCATTATTTATACCTCAACAAATTGTGATTTCCCTGGTGTGAGCATCTGAATGAACAAAAGAATGAAGGAATGAAGGAATTCCTTACTTTAGAACAAAGCACTATGCTAAGTACTAGAGATACAAATACAAAAGCATTTCAGATAGAAAAGTGTTCTCTGTTCTCAAGGAACTCACTTTCTAATGGGGAAAACAGCATATAAAAGGTTTCAGTTGGAAATCACTGCTCCAACAATGCAGATTCTCACTCTTCTTTGAATTAGTAGAAGGTCTTTTAGAGTTCCTATTTCTTAAAACTTTGTCCCTGTGATCCCCAAACTTAGCTAGACTTGTCCTCAGTCAATGGATACATAGTCTGTCATATCAAGCCATTCTATGCTAAATCATTCTATCCATTCTATCCCAAAGAACTGTGACCTATTCATAATACATATGGTACTTTAATATATGTAGATGATAATAAATGAATAAGCCTGATTTAGAGGTACATCCTCATTTTTTGGTTGTTGTCAAAGGGCTGTAAAATTTTTTAAAACCTTGTTGGAAACCATTGCGATAACATATTCAAGTATAGAAGAACTGGGTTTCAATGATTTTTTTCCTACATATTAGCTATGTAAACATAGGTAAATCACAACTTCTCTGGGCCCCAATTTCCTAATTTGTAAAATGAGTGCTTGTATTCAATGCACTCTAAGGACCCATTTAGCCCTAGATCATATAAGCCTATAATTCAGGAAATGCTATATCTATCAGAGAGAAATGACTAAGTAAAAGGACTTACCTTATAACTCAGGTAACCAAGTAACACTGTTTCAAAGAGACTTATCAAGGCCACTGAAACCTAAAATATAAAATGTAAGAAAAAGGTACTACAATTAGTACACGTATTCATGGGTAGATAATAATAACATTGAATACAGTGATGGATGTGTTATTACTTTATCATTTGGCATTTCTAATATTTCCCTATACAGATCCTCTGTCTAGTGTACCAAATGCCACAACTGGACTAGAGCTATCTCATTAGACAAAATTAGCTACAGGTTGAAGTAGGTATTTATTTATTGCTATTTTTTCTTCATTATTTTTAAAGCATCAATAGCAATGGCCAAAGTAGACTAGAACCTATACTGGGACTTATATATTAGCTATTGGGATAAAAACATAGGAAAAGAAAAGAAAGGAGGCACTAGGAAAAATGTTCTTATAGAATCACATCAAGTATTAACAGAAAATTTCTATGTGTATCAGTGGGAAATTAAGTAAAGTCTTACCTGTACTTAGCACTTAAAACAAGTTCATCTTTTAAGAAGACAATTGTTTTTCAATTACATAGAAAGTTCAATCAATTATAAGCCAAGAAATATAGAATATGGAGAAAACAAAAACATTTGGGATTTAGAAAAATTAGAATATAACCTGTAAGCCCCATAACGGTAGACATCTTGTCACCCAAAAGATATGATACCTGTGAAGAAGAATGATAAATTGGTAACATAGATTCAGTACATGATTTCATACTTGAAAATATTTTAATGAACTTCATAATATTCAAATGATCTGCAACAGATTAATAAAAACATCATGAACACAACTGAAATTAGACAAATTCCTACTTGATTACTATTAGATATCATTTATCTTCAATATTGTATTATAAAGTATTAGTAGTTACATTTTATAGCCTAAATCAATATCTAGTATTGCATGTGAAGTAATTGAAGGACTATTTAAACAATGAAGATTGCAGAATGGAAAATGCATAGACATAAATTTAATTTTCTTGAAACACTACAGTATGATTTGGCTTTTGGCAACACATTCAGCAAGATGAAGAACCATAGAATCATGAATTCTGAGTCAGAATGAACTTTTTAAAAAAATTGTCTAGTCAAAATTCTGTCTAGAACAATAGCAACAAGTGATTATCCATGGCCTGAGATATGTAATTATAAATAATTTGCTACCTGTCCCCTGGCCTTGTCTTCCTGAAAACTGATGACGCCGTTTTGACCTAACCTTTCTTTTCCTTATTTTGAGACAAAAATCTGCTTCTCTTAACTTCCAGCCATTAGACTGAGTCCCGCCCTTCAGTGTCAAGATGAACAACAGTGATCTCTTCTTTACATGAAAGTTCTTTAAATGTTTGTAGAATATTCAAAGCTTACTCTCTCTGACCCTTACCTTCATCTTTTCTTCTCCAAGCTAAACAGCCATAATTTCTTCAGCTGACACTCATATGATATGTTCATCTTCTTCTAGATATACTAGTTTGACAGTGCCCTTTCTAATACGTGACATTCAGAAACCGATACAAATATTACAGATGGAACTCATCTTAAAGTAATAACTATACTTATAAAATGGGAATTCTCAATGTTGGATTAAAAATAGTCTTTATGATAACAAAAAAATTTTAAGCTATTTAAGATTAACTAAAAGTTACCATTTTATAAACAAAAATATTCTGGCATTACATAAAGTTTTACTGATATCTATACTAATTGATACACAGTGAAGCTCAAATGGAAATAAATAAATCAGAAAACCATGCTTGGAGAAAAAGGATAGTGGTTACATTACCAAAAACAGAATAGGAAAAATTTGACAGTAAGCAACACTCAGACGACTACCAATTGTTTTAGAAACTAGGTCAGGAACATTTCCACAAAACATTAAATTGGTAATATGTTTTAATTCCAAAGATGCATTACATGCACAAGATAAATCAGAGAAGGAGAACAAAAGGACATTTGACACAGATCTCAAGCCTGACAGGTAAAAAATCATGGCCAAAAGAATTTGAATGAGCTCACACTGACAACTCACAATACTGACAATGAGCTTGAATTGATAATGAATGAAAGCTAGTTTTGTCTTTTCTCTCAGTAACTACAGCATTCACACAGAAAAAGCTTGAAAAAATTCTTTTAAAAATCCATTAATTTTATTCTTTTGAGGTTCTATATTGTTTTACTATATCTTCTTTTTAAAACAAAATTATGACTAGCATCCTCTAAAACTGGAAATTGTCTTGGCTTCTCTAGACCTCTGAGGAATCCTGAATATGAAGATTGTTTCTATCTCCAAAAAATAAAATAATGATTTTTAAAATTTCTCATATATTTAACTTGACCCTAACTTCATAGAATTATTTCCAACAAAGCTGGGGCTAGAGATAAGCAACTAGGGCAGTCACTTAGGATGAGGCACACAGGGGTACCCAATGAATGACATTTTAAAATGTTACTTTATGTAATTCAATGTCATAAGGGGATGGAGAGCTGCTCTGAGAGTGAATCCATTCAAGCCCCTCTTCTGAAAAATACCAATTGCATGTCCTTGGACGAGTCAATTAATTTCTTAATGCTCTAAGCCAGGGGTATCAAATTCATATAGAATAGGAGTCAAATAAACTGCGTATAAGGATCCCTACTGCTGCATGTTAACTTAATTTTAAAATGTAATATTACCTATGTTATATTATCTTTTTATTTTATTAATTATTTACTGATTTCATTTTAATCTGGTTCCAGTTTCAAAGTGTTGTGAACCTGTGGACCACATGCTGCCAATAGGCAATGGGTTAGACCCTTCTGCTCTACATGATTCCTACAATTATAAATTATAGAGAAGGTTCAAAACCTGCAGTGGGAGGAGTCTTCATGAGGAGCTC